AGTTTTTTTTAAAGGAAAGCATAATTAAGGCTCTCATGATAAAATTTTGAAAGTTTAGCAGTGCTGCCTGTGCAACGGCCTAGACCCAAGCTCCTGGTAGCTCACGTGCTTCTTTGTATTCTCTTCCCACTGTTGAGGATTCTTCACAGCATTGTAGTCTCTCACCGAACTTCCTGTTTTTAGTGGTTACATTCAGCTTTGAAAAGTTTAACTCTTTTACATGTGTGTCTAATTTTACAAGCAGATGTAGAAACTGAAATGCCAACACTCTCAGTAGTATTCTATTTGTTCTTCAGTGCCTGTGATAACTCGACAGCTAGCAGTGTGCAGACACGGATCAGGGTTTTTGCAAATTTTCTACGTAGGGCAGTGAATGTCTTGATTTTTATGACACTGAAATGTCAGTGAAGATGACAATATAATGACAATGAAATCAAGTCATTATCATGTTATATGGTATTCTGTTCATCTGCTATTATAGCAGGTAGTGTTTAAAGCTAAGAAGATTGTAAAACACAGAACCTCTATTATTTGGAGGTAGGCAATCCATGTACCTTATTTAGTGTAACCAGTAAATCTGGTAATACTAATCTCTAATTTTTTCCTTGTAACTAAACATTATTATTTCAAGCTCTCCACATGCAAAATACTTGAGTGAACAATAAAATTTAAATATAGGTTTAATTTTTTTAAACATTGTGACAGAAATAAGCCATAGAATGTGAGTGGCCAGGTTGTTGTGACTAGAAGTTTCTTTTGTATTCTTATGTAGCCATATACAAACTTCTATGCTATAAAGCAGTCCTGCAGCTAGATTCCTTTTGAGTCTTTCTACCAAGCAATTCTGACTTCTTGATGAAGAATGCTATTAAAAAGAATATAATACCAACACTTTGCATCTGTTTCTCATTTCAAAACATGTTCTTTTACTTCATGCTTTCTATTTTTTTTCTCCTACCATGAGATTCATTTTTTTTCTTCAGTAAGCAACTGAGAATAAAAAGATTTCTGATAAACTGAGTCAGTTTGTATCATGTACACAAAAGCTTTAGGAATGCGTTAATTTGTCCCCATTGTGATCATGTGTATCCACATTTTATAAATACTGTCACTTAAAAATAAAAATCATGGCGCCCTTTGCTCTGTAAAATGAAGAATAGAACCAAGGCTGTAGCATCAATGTGAGAGGAGATTTAAATGTATCAGAAAACTGTGGTTTTCAAATTTGGGTTTTCCTGACATTATTTGTACCAGACATGACATAGGGAGGGCACGCTACTTTTGAATTCTCCTCCTGAGCTCCCAAAAGTGACCTGCAAGTGAGACAAGAATACAAGTTTCTTAATAAATCTGTACTACTCCAGCCAGCCTTGCTCAGCAGAAGAATTATATCCTTTGGGTTTTCTTTGCTGCTGCTTTGCAATTTTTTCTGCTTGAGAAAATTGTTACTTAGTGACATGTCTTTGTTCTGACTGATAAGTTTATTCCCAGAAAAACAGTCCTGAGGGCTATTGGTGGTGTTTTTGTTTTTTTTTAACATCTGCACTTGGTCACTTGCTTGAGATCCATAATAATCTCTCTCAAGTATTTGCCCTCTTGAAAGGGCATTATTCAGAATGATCACACTGGTACCAAGCAAAGAGAGTTGTAAGGAACAAAAAAAAAGCAACCTCCTGCCAGCCATGGGCCCTTAGAAATTTTACCTTTCCACACAGCAGCAACACGGGCAGTGATTAAATCTGGAAACCTTTTCTAGGATTTCATTGTCTGTTTGACGTCTAGCCTGGCTTTATTCCCCTTGACCTGTAGCGTGTGCCTGTGTGGTCTCCTGGCATATGAATTTGATGAGAGTTTTATTTTACCTGATTCATTTTTCCCTTTGAGGTGTGTTCAGTGACTATCAAACAAACCTATGCCACATTACATTAATCAAAGGATAGTTTTTGTTGAACTTGTATACTAGATGAGGGCAAATTAATGGTATTTATCCCTTTGGGACGTGAAGTCCCTGAAGGTGACAAAATATTGTTTCAATTGCTGCCTGTGTTAAGAGTGGGTTTTCTTTGATACCACCACTGTTCAGGTACCAAACTGAGGGACACTGCCAGGTCCTTCTTTGGTCCCTGATAGGCTTTATTCTCTGGGCCATGTTGCTGCGGTTTTTGTTTTAAAACTAGATAACAGATATTTCTATTTAGCAGACCATTCCCGTTCTGCAAATGGAAACAGCAAGTGCGCTTTTTGATAAAGTTTCTCCTTTCTCTAGGTGCTGGTACAAGAAAAATATTCTGTATTGTTTTGCCTGTGGCTTAGGTTTTGAAGATCCCATCTCTCCACAGTCAGAAGTGTTGCCTTAACACACGTTTGCTATCGTAATGCCATGGAAAGTCTAGCAGGGTGACATGAAGGATTTTCTACAGCAGGAGAAAATAAATTTTCAAATCTTTCCATAAAACCAAATGTGGTTGTGTTAATGTGTATTACTCCTATATGATTTCTTTTAAGTAAAATAAACTTTAAAAAATGCAGTTCACTAGATCCAAAAATAATGCACCTTTGACTCATGGTTCTGTGGTCTTATTTTATCAAAAGTAATATTTTCTCAACATGCATTTTAAAACAGACTTAATGGGAGACTTCCTATTCTCTTCCATGTTATTTACAATACATGATAATTGCAATTTGATTTAATAAAAAAAAAAATCTTTGAGATGATTCATCCAAAGCTCAAGTTAGACATTCTAAATGTCAGTGTAGTCATGCAGCCTGCTTGCTGTGAGTACATAAGAATTCGTTTACAGTCACGGCCAGGACCATTGAAATGTTGCGCACATCTCTGAAATAAACCAGGGCAGTTTGTGTGGGGGACGGGGGGGCCCTGGCGGGCTGAAGTAACAAACTTAGCAAGGAAACATTACCTGGAAATCTGCAGCTTCAGCCTTGAGTCACAGTTCTTTGGAAATGAGGACCAAGGCATGTTTAGCTGAGGAACAAACCAACTCCATTTAAAGGCTATTTGTTAGACATATTTAACTGTATGTAGTGAGGCTGCACTCAGCTCCCTGTTCTGTTGTTAAGATTTGCATAGCCCAAGAGCATCGATATCTTCCACTAGTTCTACCTCTGGAAAAAGACAAATATTTTATGCTGTTGTCCCTGCATTTCTTTGATACGCTATAATATTTTAGAATAAGGCTACTAGGCTGTGTATTGTTTTAACGCATCATGAACTATAATCTGGCCTACATCGCTAAAAAGATGTCTTATAAGCTCTGTATTGTGGTTCCAACAAATTAAAGTAATAGCAGCGCATTTGATAATGCTGATAGCTTCGCAGATTATATGCAGGCAGGGCTGTGAACACAATCCAAGTTTATAAATTGATGTGTGTATACAGTGCTTCACAGAGAGCCAGACACAAGAGACCTCTGCACATCTGGTTGTTTTAACAGAGGTTTGGAACACAGACTAGTCATTAAAACGTGTATGTATACATCCACACTAATTTCACAATATATATAATGGCTAATATTGGGAGGACACATCTCAAATGAAATAGTGAAGTTTCCCAAATCTCTGTGTTACATTATGAACAGTTAGCTAATCTGTCTTGCTGTGTTTGTCTCGGGAATAAACAAAAAAACAACAGCCCAACCCTAAGAAATGCAACTAAGCAGTCTTTTATTTTTTTTTCAGTCCTTTTTTTTTTTTAATTTCTGATTATTTGTATGCATCATTGCAAAAATATACACACACACAAAAAAACCTACGTATGGTGAAATGAATCTTTAAACTATAAGGAACAATTTCTCCAGATTTAGTAAGAGCACATGAAGTGCAGTTTTTATTGTATTTTTTCAGACATATGAAGCATACATACCTGTATACATATTTGTATATATATTCATGCATATTTGTATATTTTTAAACCTAAGTGTGCAGTGGATAATTTTGCTGCTAAGTGGACATTTTGTGTGAATATCTAAATGAAGGTCCCAGTCTGTTTCACCAGTAGATGTGCAGTTCTGTCAGCTAGCTATAAATTTTTTGAGACAAACCTGAATTCCTGTGGGACTCAGTGTAGGAGCTCACTGGATGTGTTTTGCTGGAGAATGCTGTTGGGCTGTGCAAGTCCCCACAGTTTTAAGGTTCCCCTAGGCCTTTAGGAGTTGTTAAATTAGGAAGGAGTGAGATTGTTGAGAGTAAGTTGTGATTTTGGTTGACATAGATTAATATGTATTGAAACAATTTTCTTCCTCGATTTTTTTCTTATTATCTGAAGAAGGGCGACTGGATTCTTTGGGGAGTGGGAGGGCAGGGGTTGCCTGTTTGTTTTTAAGCCTCAGAATGAAGCTCACTTGGTTGAATTGCCTACTTGTGATAGAACAAACCCACAGTGCTTCCAGATTTTTTTAAATTTTATTTTTTTTCCTTCTTTTCTGGAGGGAGTTTCACTGGTTGCAGGGAACTTGTCTGTCCAGCAAGAGTGGATAAGTTTAAGGAACGCGTTAACCGTGTAACTTCCTGCTTCACTCCTAAAATAATAAAGGTGGAAAACATACTGCGAAAGAATATAGAATGTGTCTATGCCCTCTGCAGTAGTATTCTGTATAAAAGAATGCTTGGTGCTTTATTTAGAAATGTTTTGCAAGAGCTGTACCTTTCACTTAACTGATACATTGGAGCAGGATTTTACTGTGTTTAGTGTAACTCAAATCCTTCTTTCAGGACTTTGCAACTAAGTTTTTTGTGTTGCCCTATCATCTCTTTTGTTATAAGCTTAAAAATTCGTTTGAGGCAGGAAATCTTAAACCTCACTTCCCATTTACCTCCACCTTTCCCCTTTTAGAAATCAAGATGGGAGAAATTATCATATTTTATGATCTTCACCTGCTTACTATATATTAATTTTCTGAGTGTTACAAAAGTTTGTACTTTTCTTTTGTGACCAAAATATGATGAATTATTTAATATTTTTTTATTGTTATTTTATTTGACAGGTCCTCGACCAGTACGAACGAGAAGGGTTTAATTTCCTAGCTAAAGTTTTTAATTCCTCACATTCCTTCTTAGAAGACTTGACGGGTCTAACTTTATTACATCAGGAGACACAGGCTGCCGAGGTAAGAAAATAACTTTGGATGTTAAAGGAAAAATGTGATAGTTAAGGGTGCCTTGGTTGTATGTTCAGCTGTATAGCCATATGAGTAAATGAATCACTGGTAGACTCAAGCATTGCTTTGTGATTTACCGGATGATTTATGTGAGCCATATGCATGTTCCATACAGTGAGATAGGAGGTGTCCTCGTATTGTTACAGGATAAGAAACATTGTTGGATATGGGAGGAGTTTGTTTGTTTGTTTGTTTGTTTGTTTGTGTTTTTTTTTTTTAAGCCTAGGTGATGCACAGTATGGGATGCATGTTGACAGCCAGTTAGAAATGTGTAGCACTGTTGTTAATATTCATTTTATTATTTCCACGTTTTGTGAAAGTGACAGTTGTTGCTTGAAAACTCTGGATTTACATGGAGGAAAGTTCCTGTCTGTTGTCTTTTAGGGTGTGTTTCACTGTTAGTGTAAACTGCAGTTGATGCACACATTGCCAGGCCAGCTTTAATCTACTGTATGCAAGTGCTGATGATAGTTAGCCCTGATAGTGCAGAGCCCAGTGTGAGCTAACAACCACAGCATTTACACAGGTTCCTAGGTAGGTGTTGGTATTGAATGTGACTGTACATTAGATGTTTTCTTAAATTAATTGTAATTTTTTAATATCTGAATTTTCAAGTATTCATTTTAAAGAAGAAAATTACTTGTATTACATGATGTAAGGAAATCAGTTATCATTTTAGGTCAGTCTAAAGTGTAATTATTATACAAATTTGTGGATTATAATATGTGGAAAACAATACTCTTTATTCATTTAGTGACAAAAGTTGCAACGTGGAATGAAATTGAGGTGTGTTTTGTTCTCCTGGATAACCCTGCATAAAGGGTTGTGATATGGAATCTGTTTCATCAAAAACAGATTCTGTCTTAACGTTGTATTTAATAATGATTTGTAATCCTTACTCCCTCTGTAAATGTCTATGGTCCTCTACATAATTCAATTATGGTATGGTAGTATCACGTGGATGTTTCCAAAGTTGGCTTTAAAAAGTGATTATTCAGTTACTGTAGCCTGTGCAAATGGTATAGCTGTTTTTGCAGCTGGAAATGGCTCAGTGGTTTTCCTAATAAGGTTTGTGAGGGTAATGCAGACTTGACTCTCTGTTTCATGTTTTAACGTTTTAAAATAATTGGAGCAGATACTGGAGACATTAAACCATAAAACACTTGATGCACTCTTAAATCAGCGTAGTGATACATCCAAAAAGTTGTGTGTATGTGAGAGGGAAAAAGCAAAGCAAAACAAATGCCCTTTACCAGGTGCTACCCATTACCAGTAAGAGTCATCGTATTCCGATTGCCATATGTGACTATTAGGCTGCTTAGAAGGCTTTAGTCTGCTAGTGACAGCATAAAAAAAGTTATGTATGTCCTAGTTAGTGATCAGTTACTTTGCTGGTATTAATTCTTGAGTTCTGCATCTTCATAATGCGTGCGGGTGTTTATTTATAAAGGTTTAGATACTCTTTACAAAATGTAGTTTGCTGCAAGTGCATTGCAACTTCCTGAAGTTCAATGTTTAATGATAAAGGATGGGATCAGTGTGCTTCCAAAAATCTTTGAGTTCAATAACGAGGTTAATGCAATATAGTTATTGCTCATAAATAGAAAAACAATGCAGTTCTATATAGAAAAATAACATAACTCAGTTTTTCTGATAGAATAAAAAGATCTTGCTGAATAGAATGTCGGTTTTTCAAAACCTAGGATATTTTCATGTTTTCTTATGTATTTAATGTATCAAGTATGTATCAAGTGGTATTTTTAATTTCACAATTATATAATAATTCTAGCTATTAAAAATTAATTGGCGTGCAAGTTTTCACAGAAATAGATGTGTATTACAATAGTTAAGTCCAGATAAAAATATTTGCCTAGAGAAGAGACCTCCACTTTAGGAGAGATAGTTTGCACAAAGGAAAGAGAAGGCCATTGTAACACAGAATTAGCCAAAGCAATAATTTTTTAATGGATCTCTTTATTTGCAGTGATGCTACTCATAGTACTGCCTTAAGTTTTCAGTTTCATGAAATCAGATTGTGTATCAGGTACAGCTGGATTTCCTTACAGAAAAACTGTTGGGTGACTTGTGGATAATGATTGTTCTGGGCTGAAAGGGATGGTGACGTACACAACAGAGGCGGTTCTGTACCCTCAGTACATAATCTGGGCCAGTTTAAAAAAATATATATGCTCAAGAGAGTGCTTACAGTACCTGTTCTATTAATTGCTCTTGTAAATTGCTCTTATTGCTCATTTTTCTTACACAGTATCATCGGTGTAATTTATATTACCAATTTGGAAGACTTCCAGATGGCTTTTCTGACTACTTCTGAACTGCTCTTAACAGAATGTGTTCTCTAAAATTTAGACGTAATTTATTTAGGACTATGTTAAGATATTCTTGATGCGTGACATTCTAAAGATTGTAGCGAAAGTAGTAAGAAACTACCTATAAGAAGATACCACGTGTATTAAGAGTGAGTAGGTGCTCTTTAACCCTTAAATGAGGGAGGTTTCGTAAGCCATGTATGGCCCAGGTTGGTGATTAGAAAATTTGGCTGTTTTGTTGAGAAGTTACTTGACTTTCCGCGCTCTCATTCTTCAAAGGGATTTTGTAAAGGAAGTTTGGGTTTGGGAGTTCATGAAAATGGTTTCTAATAACTGAAGACTTTCCTTTCTATCTGTCTGGTAAAACTTGAGCAATGCTATTGCTCCAGTGGAATGAAAATAAACTTGTAAAGTTACCTGTCATCCAACAGTAAATTTACTCCAGAGATGCCATAATTTGTTGTAATTCAATATATAAAATCACTGATATGATCAAACGATTTGTTGCTTGCATTAGACTAATAAACTTGCATTGGACAGAGAAATGTACCAAATGTTCGTATTTTTCTTAAAAGGAACACACTTAATGATCTTAGTGTTATCGAGCTTTTTAATTGAATGCTTTTCTCAGGCTGCGGTCAGAGGAGTTGGAACTTTTATCACATGCTTCAGCGTATTGCATCCGAAGTTAAATCACCAAACTCTTTTTTAATGCGCCTAAGCAAATGCTTAGCTGCTTTCATGAAGTCAAATTTGTGTAAGTGCTTTAATGAGCTAATTACTAAACTAGCTTTGTGGTGCTCAGAAGACATTCTGGGTATGCCATGCCTGTTCTGTAAGAGGCCATCCATTCTGGGATCACCTGAAGTTTCCGCGAAAACATTGCCTTCTCTGTGCACTTAGTATAGGCTGTGTTCACCCAGACTAAAGCAGGAACATATGCAAGACTTTTCACATACTAAATATCTTTTTAAGATATTTTATTGTTCAATTTCCTCTCCCAGTGCCGTGCTGTTGACCTATGTATTGATAGCATGTTGAAATCCTGTATATGACTGATAGGAATATAACCCTGATTCAGTGTGCAACATGAGAAGGAATCACAATACCAATTTAGTTTGTGGTTCAAATTTGATACTAATCGCAGGATTTTTAGTTAAGAGCACCTGTTTCTTTAATATAAGATGCATCAGGAAATTATAAATGTTCTGCATGACTTCCTTAATATGACAAGTTAACCAGTAAATAATAAAATTAGCAAATGTTTCTATTCTGTCTTGAAATGACAGTAAATTTCAGACATCTGCTTTTTCTACATCTGGCTTTAATTTAGGTTCTGTGGAACACTTTTTATTTTTTAATACCAGTTAGATATTTATGTACAGCTTCATCAAGAGTCTCTGATGACACCCATGGCTTTGAAGGCCAAAAGAAGCTGTGGGAAACTCCCACATCAGCACTTAGGCCTTGTTTCCACTGGATGCAGTTCACTTTGGGAGCCACCCAAGCTCCCTTAAAAATTGCACTCCTGTTTTCCAGATCAGCTTTGTCTTCTTGCTCCTAACCTCAACCTCTTAACGTCACCTTTGGTCAATATGCAGTCAAGTTTCATATCTGGGCTTAAAGTAAAAAGAGCTTATGCATCTCCTGAATTATTAATCAGAAAGCAGTGGCGTTGGTTTGGAGACAGAACAAAAGCCAGCTTGGTTCAGAGCTTGGCAGGGCCGCCTGCTGGTGGTGACATTTCACAGTGCCTCGCTAAAAGCTGCTGGGTTGCTTGCTGTGTGCACCAGACCTAACCCTGTGCAGTGCAGAGCCTGATGGTATGGAGAGCGCTTTCAATTTAGTCCTGTCTAAAACTGGAGCTTTTCTGACTCCTCTGTTGAGATTAATTTTTACTGATGTGGCACACTTCTGGAAGTGAAAACTGACACATTCATTAATAAATCCCACAGGCAAGTTTGTTCTATAGTTGTGGAAGAATCGTTATCACTCAAAATATTTTCCGCAAAGCTTACTTCTTAAGGGTACCCATTTTCTTGTTGCCTTTTTTCCTCAGAAATATCTGCCATTGTTCTTTAAGGCCCAATTAAGCCAATTAACCAGGCATGTGCTTGCTTTAACACCTGTAAGTACTCTGGATTCACAGGGAGCGCAGCACCTGTTGGAATGGCTGCAATGGAAGGAGCGTTTATAGCAGTGAAGTGAAATTTTTGCATGAATTCACAAACTTCAGTAAATTATGTAGTTGAATTTCTTTACAAACTTTTTCAGCTACATCCATTTGTCAGAAGTACAGACATGTAATTTCTCTCTTTTCTTAATGTGGCTCAAGTACAGATGTCTTACGTTGGATTTCAAGCCCTGAATGAAGCGGATGCTTTAGGGAGATTTGCTTTGTGTGCTATACTCTCTGCTTCTGTCAGGATGAAAGAAAATCGTATAATAAAATTTTCACTGTATTGTATGACTGATTAAAACACAAGAAGTGGTAGAACTCTTTGAATTGAAAAGGATTGTAGAGTCTGGAAGAAATTAAACCACAACCAGAGTTTTCTGAACGAAAGGCATAGTGCTTATAAAGGTCAGACATTGATGCCAGCAGGTTGTGATGTCTGTGTT